CCAACTGCTGGACAACGAATGTTTTCTCACCGGAGAAACCCAAATTCGGCTGTTCACCACTTTCGACCAAGCGATGGAACTCTTTAGCTCTTTTGAGTCTATTTTCTTTCTGTTTCAGTGCAAGTCCTTGCAATTTTTTGGAATTTCAATGGCTCATTTTTCAATATTTGCCGAATGGAATATTGCGATAGGTTCAGCGCACGAGCCATTTTTCGGCCACTGCGACGCGGGTTTCGATCAAGTCGCTTCATTTACTTTACGAACCATTTCTGCTGATGTTGCTGTTTTCTTCCGTCCACTTCCTTGACATCGGGCTACGCTACCAGTATCACGGTAACGATCGATGGTACAAGACAAAAAAGATTTATTCACATTTAAATGCTGAAGTGCTCTAACGATAGCCACTTGTGGTTTCCAGCCAAATATGAAGAAATCACACTATCACGCTTGAATTCCATCACGAATAACTATTTTTCTGGAAAATTCTCACCAAAATGCTTTTGTACGCTTGAAAGCAATACAACGAGCTTTCGCTGGAATAATTTTACCAGCTGTCAGACGAGTGGCTTAGAAATGACAGCAGTCTGAAGTTGGTTGTAGTTTTTTCATCTCACCCTGTATATATAAATCTTCGTCCGTTTTTTTTTTATTTTTTTGTGCACCAAGCGTGTAATATTACCTGAAATCAGATGGAATTTGGCACTTACGACCAAATTGAGCCTAGAAACAAGTATATTAATTTTTTATAGCTATAGCACCCCTATATATAGTTCATCCGATTTGTTATTTCTATCCTCCGTAGCCATAATATGCACTCCGAAACAACGATATGCAAGAAATTATATCAAATACAGCTCAGAAATACCCTTGCCAAATGTTATCGAGATCGGTTCAGATTTGGATATAGCTCCCACATATATCTTTCTACGACTTCATGTTAATTGTACATCAAATGGGTTATATAAGCCCGAATTGGAAAGACCCAAATGACTCGGCAAATTTAGTAGAAATCGATTCAAAAGGAAGGATATACCTCATATATTAGTTCCTTCGGACTTTAAATTATAAATGTAATGGTTTATGATTTAATTCTAACAAGTTCGCCATTAAAACTTTTAATTGTTATCTAAAGCTTTATTAAATATGCAAAGGGGTGTAGGGTATCATAAAGTCGGACCCGCCTGACTTTAAGATTTTCCTTACTGTTTTCGTTTTGTAGACCTGCAAAAACATGTAATACCCAATAGAAGACCTATAAAAAAAAAATTGAATATTTGTAAGAGAATAGAAAAAGTTATTATTATGTCCTAGTGACATGCAAAAGAAATAATACCTATGACACGGGAAACCAGTGATATAGTAAATGTGTTCTATGAATAGAAGACACTTGAATGATATTCTACCCAAAAAAATAAATCTGTAGGAAGTGCTCCACCTTTAGAAAAAATCTATAAAACCTATAAAAGGAGCTGGCTTCAATAAAAACTTATTAAAAGTCTGCTATTTATAACTCAAGGCAAAAGATCTTGTGTCAACAACAAATATTGTCTATGGTACTGACATGTCCTAACATTTGCAAAAACAAACAAATAATTTAGTTTTTTTATTAGAAATACCTTAAATAAGATAAAAAAAATAAATATATGACTAATGCTTCTCTCTCTCTCTCTCTCTCTCTCTCTCTCTCTCTCTCTCTCTCTCTGTGTTCCCTGCTATCTGTCATTATGCAGTGTCATAAAAATAGAATATATTTACGGAAGGAGATAAATCGCAGGGACTCACAGCATCACATTTCAAAATAAATACAAAAAAATACGCTAGGGTGTTAGAATTAACAGTAGCCGTTCACTTGAAACCTTTGGCTGTAGTAGCAAATGCAACGCTTGATAAGATAACAGGCCATTTTTCATTATCAATCATCATCTTTCCCAGCCGTACAACAGACATCCAACCTGGTGGAGAGTAACGCATGTCAGCATGTCAAATATTCCGCTATGGGACATTTAATTTGTTTACATATATCAAACGTGATGTTTTGATATGTATATCTGTATAATTCTTTGCAATTAGTAAGCATTTTTCTTCTTTTGAGGAAATTTGATTAATAATATTTAATTTGAGTTAATGTCTTGGTGTGGCACACATAATTAACCCATTGACGCAGAATTTTTTCTTTAGCGCTATCATTGTTTTCTTTTTTTACACCCTCAGCCATATGGATAGTGAGGGTATATATCATTTGATACGGCCAAAACGTGTCTCATCGAAATAACGATTTTAGACCCCAGGTCTCTTTGGACCAAATCCGTTTCAAGACATTTGGAATCGATCTAGCGATGTCGGCCCGCCTGGCTGGCTGCTGCACACGATAACTCTCAGAGGGAAAATCCGATTTGGTCCAAACTTGGTAAATCGTAATATTATTATCAAACTTAGATCGAGTTCGGAGATGGACAAGATCGACCCTCACCTTCTGGTACCTCCCTCACAAAATTTTCAAAGAAAATATTTTGCCGCGCAGAAAGAGAAAGGTTGATCCGATTTTTCTCCAACTTTGTAAATTTTAATATTTGCATTAGTGCTTTGTCAGGTGCGAAAATGGACAATATCGGTCTACTTCATCCATTACCTCCCCCCCAAAGGGTCAACATTGCGAATAATTATAACTCTTACAAAATGAGGTGTAAGTGTCCGATTGTCTTCAAATCACACACATCACAATATTTTTATTAACACAAGGTCTGGTGTGAATATGGAATATGAACAATATCGGTCCTTCAAGTACATTCTCCACCAAGTGTCGAAATTTTGAATAATTTTAACTCTTGTAAAATATAATGTAAGAGACCGATTGTCTTCAAATTACACACATCACAATATTTTTATTAATCAAAGGTCTGGTTTGAAGATGGAATGTATCGGTCCACTCCTTCTGATACCTCCCCTATAAAAGGCCTAAATTTGGAATAGCCATGAAGCTCGTCAAACAAGAAATAAGCATTTGATTCTCTTCAAATTTCACATATCTCAATACTTCTACTGAAACAAGATTTGCTGTGAAGATGGAAATGTATCGGTCTAATCCTTCTGGTACCTCCCCCACAAATAGACAAAATTGTTGAATATCCATGAAGCTCCTAAAACGCGAAATTAACATCCAATTCCATTTAGACTTGTCAAATCTCAATATTTTAATCAACACAAGATCGGTTATAAATATGGTAGAGATCGGACCATTTCTTCTGGTACCTCCTCCAAAAAGAGTCAACAAGGGTTCAAAACGATCATAAAATCCGAAATAAGCATCCGGTTCTCACAAGATCTGCTGTGAAGATGGAATATATAGGTCCACTTTTTTTGGTACCTCCCCCACAAAGGGTCCAATTTTGAATATCCATGAAGCACGTAAAACGCGAAATTAACATCGGATTCCATTCACAATTGGTGCATCTTAATAATTCCGTCAACACAAGATCTGTTACAAAGATGGTAGAAATCGGACCATGTCTTCTGCTACCTCCGCCACATATAGTTCAAGATTTTTGAAGAACAAAACGTTCAAAGAATGCGAAATAAGCATCCGACTCTCTTCAATTTTCACACATACAACAAGATCTGTTGTGAAGATGATATATATCTGCGAACCCCTTTTGATTTCTCAGCCACAAACGGTCACAAGATAGGAAGCGAAAATTTTTGCACAGATCAGTATTTTGTCTGCGGGCAAGATGGGCAATATTGGTCCACGATATTGTATAGCCTCCATATATCAGTACCCCCCGATATTCGGTATTTTGATGACTGTAGCCAAATATTTCCATAAAATGTTCTTAAAATCCACAGAAGGAGTTCCTTGTGAGTACTTTACCCCCTGAAAGAGAAATGTCCATATACATATGTATAGCCCTCATACAGCTGTACCTCCCTATATTCGGTATTTGCATGATTTGAGCTACATTTTTCGATGGAATTATCTAATAATCCATACTAAAAGTTCTTTCTAAGCACTTTACCCGCTAGAAGAGAGATGTCTATATAGGTCCAGGATATCGTATAGCTCACACACAACGGTGACCCCCGATTTGACGATTTTAGTGGTATTATTCATCGGTTTTTTTTTTAAATTTCATATTTAGAATTCGTAATGGATACAACAGCGTATGACAAAAAATTGCGTATGCAGACCCTCTTCTTCGTATAGCCACCATATAACGGTGCCTCCCAATATTCGGTATCTAGAAGATTTTAGCGACTTTATTCACCGAAGTTGTTTCAATTGTATATTTAGAGTTCCGAAATTGTTTCAAATTTCGTATTTGAAGTTCCTAATAGGTACTACAACCTGCGACAGAAAATTGTCTATGAAGGTCCAGGTCTTCGTATAGCCCTAATATAACGGTATCTCCCGGATTTTTTTTTCTAGTTTCGTGTTTGATCATTGTAATGGCTTATGACAAATATTGATTATGCAGATCCACGTCTTGGTATAGATCCGGTATTTTTAAGATTATAGACCGGTATTCTTAAGATTTCAATAGAATTTTTAACGAATTATACTTTTTTAAAGATTTTCAATTACGTTCGAAACGGTGAAGGGTATTCAAAGTTAAGCCTGGCCGAACTTACTACTTTTTATTGTTTTTTTTTTTATATCATCTGCGAAGCATATCTGTTTCAGCCTTCTTAATTTATTAGATTTTATAGAAAACTTTTTTAGATTTTTAGATCGATAACCTTTTTTAAAGAGGATGTCTTCCACAGATTAACAACTGACGATTTCGAAATTTAATTTTGCCTGGAATGTTCAAGATATTTTATAACTAAAAATTATTTAAAAAAATGTTGTTGTAAACATAATATAGTCAATACTGCATCGCCCTGCAATCTATGTTCATTAAATACTCGTATTGCATGTGCCCCACTTTTGTATTCCTTTTTTACTGCTAAACTAATTTTGTATTCCCTTTTTTCACATCTTTCTTCCCTTTCCACCTCTTTAGAACCTCAATCGCTTTGGAGATTCTATGGGTTCGTTGGGACATAGAGCACTTCTGCAATATGTGGACGCCAATGATATATCCGGTTTGCGTTCCATCTTAGATAGCCGTCATCTAACGGTCGATGATCGCGATGAAAATGGTGCCACACTGTTGATGATTGTATCGACGCGGGGTCTAACGGCATTTGTGCGGGAGCTTTTGGCTCGAGGTGCTGATGTTCAGGCCGAAGACAATGATAACTGGACAGCGCTGTTGTGTGCCTCAAAGGCAGGACATTTTGAGATAGCCCAGCTGTTGTTGGATCATGGAGCCGATTTGGAACATCGAGAAATGGTAACAAAAAAACAGATTTTATTGAATTTAAAACTTTAAATAAAATTTTTAATTTTTCAGGGCGGTTGGACGTCACTGATGTGGGCAGCCTATCGTGGCCACACGGAACTGGTGCGCTTCTACTTGGAAAAGGGTGCCGATGTCAATGTCCATGGTAACTACCATTTGGGCCCTCTACTGTGGGCCGCTGGTCGTGGTTTCAAGGACATCGTTGAAATGCTGGTGACACGTGGCGCCAAGGTAAATGTGGGCGATAAATATGGCACCACTGCCCTGGTGTGGGCCTGTCGCAAAGGCAATGTAGAAATTGTCGATACTCTGCTGAAAGCCGGTGCTAATGTCGATACAGCTGGTATGTATTCATGGACACCCCTGCTGGTGGCCGCCTCAGGTGGCCACACGGACTGTGTAACCTCCGTTTTGGAAAAGAAACCCAATGTCAATGCCTTGGATAAGGATGGCATGACCGCCCTGGCCATTGCCGCCAGAGAAGGTTACCAGGATATTGCAGCGGCTCTAATTGCCGCCGGGGCCTATATTAACATACAAGATCGTGCTGGTGACACACCCCTCATACATGCCGTCAAGGGCGGCCATCGCAGTGTGGTCGAGTCTTTGCTGAAAAAACATGCCGATGTCGATATCCAGGGTAAGGATCGCAAAACCGCCATTTACACCGCGGTGGAAAAGGGTCACAATCAAATTGTCAAAATCCTCTTGCACACAAATCCTGATCTGGAAGCTGCGACCAAAGATGGCGATACGGCCCTGCTGAGGGCTGTGCGCAATCGCAACTTGGAAATAGTACAAATGTTATTAGATCGTAAGGCGAAAGTGGGTGCTAGCGATAAGCGTGGTGATACCTGTCTGCACATAGCAATGCGTGCCCGTTCCAAGGCCATTGTGGAGGCATTGCTAAGGAACCCCAAGAACAGTCAGTTGCTGTACCGGGCCAACAAGTCTGGAGAGACGCCCTACGCCATTGATACCGCCCATCAGAAGACAATATTGGGTCAGGTGTTCGGTTCCAGGCGTTTGAATACCAACGAAGACTCGGAGGGCATGTTGGGATATGAATTGTACTCCTCGGCCTTGGCTGATGTGTTAAGCGAGCCGACGTTGACAACACCTATTACTGTGGGTCTCTATGCCAAATGGGGTAGCGGAAAATCGTTCCTACTCACCAAACTTAGAGAAGAAATGACAAATTTTGCCCGCCAATGGGCGGAACCTCCGATACGAACAGCTGGTCTGCTATTCCTAGTGTGTTTCCATTTAGCCCTTATACTCGGCACAATTGTGGGCTTGTGCACCTGGTCCTTTACCTGGGGTCCTGTGGCCGGTGTCTGCTTCCTGGCCTTCACATATATCCTGCTTGCCATTATACGCTACTGTAACTACCAAATGGACATGTACTGGGCCTATTCCATTGATCATGGAATACAGAAACGTATTGGACGTCTAAGACTGATCTTTCAAGTGGCCTTCTGTCATCCACCCGGTGCCCAGGCGGATAGCCAGGCAAAACCGGTGCGTTTTCATTTTGCCGAGGCCAGCAGTGCTTCGCCCACGGGCGAAGGAGCTGTGGCCCATATGTTGGCCTCTTTGTTCGAGGCCATCGAGCAACACTACGGCTGGCTATCAACCCGCTTATATAGAGCTTTTCGTCCCAAACCCCTGAAAGTTACATCTGGTTGGCGCTGGCGTCGTATGTGCTGTCTGCCCATTGTGGTAATCTTTGAATTGGGTCTGCTAACCCTGATAGCAGGTGTCTCCCTGGTTGTGGCCTACTTTGCCCATGGTACCAGTGTGGATAGTGACAATGTTCTCATGTCAATTTATGTCATCTGTGCCATTCTTATTACCATCATCTGTACAAATCTTCATGTGTTAGCCAAGGCATTTGGAGCCCTCTTCACCTCACAGGGACGTCATCTGAAACGTACAATACGTTCAAGTGAAGGAGCTCCCCTCACCGCCTTGGGTGCAGAGGTGGCGCTGATGACAGATATGATAAAATGCCTGGATGCTTTTACCAATCAACAAAGTCGCCTGGTGGGTGTTGTGGATGCCTTAGATTCCTGTGATACCGAGAGAATCCTGTCCGTTCTGAATGCCATACAAACCCTGCTGTCTTCGCCGAATCGTCCATTTGTCATGCTAATTGCTGTGGATCCCCATGTAATTGCCAAGGCGGCAGAGGCTAATAGTCGGCGTCTTTTTACCGAGGGTGGTATTGGTGGTCATGATTTCCTAAGGAATTTGGTTCATCTTCCTGTGTATTTGCAAAATTCCGGTCTACGTAAAGTCCAAAGGGCTCAAATGACAGCGTTGCTGTTTAAACGCAACTATGGCGAATTACAATCGGATGATGCTCCGACATTGGGTCACTCCGTGTCGGCTAGACGTCTCTCGAATGCCTCGGAAATTATGTCGAGTCAAGAGAAATTGCGTGGTCCCTTGGGAGGTGGACGTGGTGCAGCGTCGGGTAAAAAGTCCCTGCGCCTGTCCGAATCTGTGGCCAGTTCAATTGGTTCGAATTTACATCGTTTGGGTCAGAATCCTCAAGGTGTCTTGGATATGTCGAGGATCATGTTGACCGATGACTACTTTAGTGATGTCAATCCACGAAGTATGAGACGCCTGATGAATGTCATCTATATCACAGGTAAGTGGGGGATTGGACAGGGTTTAAATTGACGGAAGTAATGATATTTTTCCTTTTTTCCAGTCCGTTTACTAAAGGCATTCCAAATTGACTTTAGCTGGTATCGTCTAAGTTCTTGGATTAATCTAACCGAACAATGGCCGCTAAGAGCCAGTATGATTGTACTGCATCATGACCAGTTTATGGAATCATTTGATGACAGTGTTCCTCTGCAAGCGGTCTATGAGAAGTAAGTTTCAGGAGAGATTATTTTTTCAAAATTTTTTATATTATTATTTGGTTTTAGGGTCCGCCCGAAATTGGCTTGTTTACGCGAAGCCGCTCCCCTCTTGGAATTGGACCGGGATGAACGCAAATTAGACGCCTTCCTGCAGTTGCATAAATCCGATTTATTGGTTGCCGATTTACGTATCTTCCTTCCCTTTACCATTAATTTAGATCCCTATCTAAGAAAGGTGCTTAAGGGTGCGTATTCTTTTGTAGAAGTATTTTGGATATTTGTTATTAATTTAAATTATTTCGCAGAGGATCAACAATCCATTGAAGATGAAGGCTCAGTGGTCTTACAAAATCGTCCTAGTGTTCAACATCCACCACGTATGCCACCCACACCAACCACATATATGCCTTCACCAATGGGACCATACCCGCCATATCAGCTGCTGCAAAATGAATATTCAGCAGTGCAGGAATTGCGTCAACGAAATTTCAGTTCCGGCAGTGAACCACCCATGACACCGCTATTGAATTCGCCAGTCGAATCGTTTGGGGTAAGAAAGATTTATAGTTGTCTTAAGGGGCACAATCAAACGCTTTGAGAAATTTCCGAAATTATACGGGACTGTGTAAAGTACCATTACGGATGATTTTTTTGTATTTTGTTATAAGACTCATAGATCATGAGCCGTCCAGTAAGCCCATCTGAAAATATATTTTTCAGTCAAAATATATGTTGTGGTTGTAAAATTGTTGTCAAAATTAGACTTCTTGGCCGACCTTATATAGGACTTAAAAAGACTTATATCTTAGTTCCCTATTTAATTTTTTCCATTTTATTTCAAATATATTTTTCAGGATGATATTTTACAAACGAAACTCTCCGACCTAACCGTTGAGGGTGTTATTAGTTTAATAGAACGTGTTGAAGATTTGAAACCTGCTTTAGCGAAATTATCACCCATCCTACGGGAGAATGCCATTAATGGACGTGTGCTGAAATATTGTGAACTTAACGATTTGAAAAAGGTAACTATCTTAAATACTTTACCTTGCTTGATTTTTGAATCTTCAAAAAATATTTCAATTTGATTTAGGAACTCAATCTAAGTTTTGGACACTGGGAACTATTCCGTTTACTGATCACCACGATGCGTGACTGTGAGAAGATGCAGCGTAAATTTAAAACTACTCCCGCATTAACGGAAATTGCCGCCAATCCTGCACCAATATCAAAAGACACACACGATTCTCATGCGATGGTGGTGGTGCCGACTCAACCCCATTCAAGGAAAAATTCCACGACATCACATATGGAGAAACAGGTAGGCTGCGAAAAAAAGAATTATTGAAGTTTTAATCAATTGAATTGCAGAGGGGAATAGTCACATTCAATCTAAGAGCTAGATTCTCGCATTTCATAGCGAACATTTTACCTTTTAGTTTGATTAAATTGAAATTTTTAGAAGCTATTAAATATCTAGTTTTTATACCCTTAGCCATATGGCTGCAGAGGGTATATATCATTTGATAAAGTCAAACGTGTCTCATCGAAATAACAATGTTAGACCCTAGGTCTCTTTGGACCAAATCCGTTTCAGGACATTTGGAGTTGATCTAGCGATGTCCGCCCGTCTGTCTGTCTGGGTGGTGCGCACGATAGCTCTCTGATGCTCCCCGATTTTATTCAAACTTGGTACATCGTGATATTATTGTCAAACTTAGATCGAGTTCGTATATGGACAATATTGGTCCACTCCTTCTGGTACCTCCCCCACAAAATGTCGACATTTTCAAAGAAATTAATTTACTGCACAGAATGAAAAGGGATAATCAGATTTTGTTCGAACCTTGCGAATCCCAATATTTGCATCTGTTCTAGGTCAGGTGCAAAAGCGGACAATATCGGCCCACTCCATCAAGTACCTCCAACGCAAAGGGGGGGGGGGGGGGGGGGGTGTTGTCTTCAAATTTCACACATCGCAATAATTTTATTAACCCAAGGTCTGGTGTTAAGATGGAATATATCGGTTCACTCCTTCTGATACCTCCCCCTAAAAGATCGAAATTGTGAATATTCATTAAGCTCATAGAACGGGAAATTAGCATCAGATTCCATTTAGACTTGGCACATCTGAATATTTTTATCAACACAGGATCTGTTATAAAAGCTGTAGAGATCGGGCCATTCCTTCTGGTACCTCCCCCACAACGGGTCAAAGTTTTGAATAAAAAACAAATATTAAATCCGAACTAAGCATCCGGTTCTCTTCAAATTTCACACATTCCATTATTTCTGCTAACACAAGATCTGCTGTGAATATAGGATATATCGATCCATTCCTGCTCCACAAAGGGTCAAAATTTTGAATATCCATGAAACTCCTAAAACATTCGATTCTATTCAGACTTGGCACATCTCAATATTTCCATCAATACAAAATCTGTTATAAATATGGTACAGAGCGGACTATCTCTTCTGGAACATCTCCCACATAGGGGGAAAAACAAAACGCTCAAAGAAAGCGATAAAGGCGTCCAACTCTCTTCAAATTTTAGCCATTCAAATATTTTTATCAGTCTTGGGTGAGATACGGATTGGTCAATATTATCCAACTGCTTTGGAACCTTCCCTATAAATGGTCAACCATATGAATAATCATAGCTCAAGGCTAGGGGTGTACATCTGTCGGCAAAACCGGCTGATACTATTTTGCTTGTTTTTTTATTTGATTAGACTCTGGTCGTTTCTATCGACAATCAAAATTAATTTCAATGGGTATTTGTTCGATATCAAATGTGAGAACTTGACGCCATCACAATTGTCATTTATTTTATAATTTAGAAATCTCAGCACATAGCCAATATTTTCAGTTGTTTATTAACTTTTAAAGTTATGCAATTTGCAAATCTATGGAGTGCTCTCAACATACACACAAGCACTTTTTGCATAAAGTCTTATTAATATTGAAATCCACAAAAATATCCCCTTTTAATTTGAAAACCCACAGAGATTTCCACTTTTCTTTTTTTAAGTTGTTAATGCATACCACCCAATGTCATATTTTTTCTACATAATTCATTGTCTAATATGAAAATCAAATTGATATAAATGAACATTTTATTTATTCGTTTATTTATTCCAACAAAACCATTCACATTTATTCCGCATCAAACCAAAAACAAAAATTCAGTCTAAAGTCCATGAATACGATTATCTACAGGTAAAAAAAAACAATCACCTTACAATGTTGTTATTGTTGATTTTAATCGTTTCTTTTTTCATAAATGTTGTTCTAATTTTTTCAATATTATTTTGTAGTTCTAGCTTTATAGTTGTCCCCTTGGTTTTATTAAGATTTATTTTCAAATTTATGAACTAAAAATTAACCGTCAACTGAAATTGGTTAACGATTTTAGATTTTTTTTTTGAATTAAATACCCGCCATATTTAATTCCTTGGGAAAACTCTTGACTTGAAAGGTATTTCAAACATTTAATTTTAAAAGCTAAACATCTTCAAAATTCTTTAAATGGAAATCGGGTTTTAAGACTTTAAGTGTCTTAAAAGTTCTACGAATGATCGTGGTTTGAATACTTAAAGGAGTCCCTAAAAATCCATGATTTGGGAACTTAAGGGAGTCTTAATAATTCGTTTCGAAACTTTAAGGTTGCCTTAAAAATCTCTGATAAAATTTATATTTTGAAATTTTTGAAAATTAATATTACATTTTAGAGAGTCTTAAAAATCCATATTTTAATGACTAAATAGTTTTGAAAATACCTCAAAAATTGAAAAAAGGATATCGCTAAAAATCACTGATTTTGAAGGCCGCTTTGTAAATTTAAGACTCGTTTTAATCTCCTACAACAATCTAGATCATGGTCTTGATTGAAGTCTTCATAAATTCCATGAATACAAGATCTTCAGGTGATCTGCTATAGATAGAAATAAAAAATGGTATATCGATTTGAAAATGTCTTATTTTAGAGATGGAAGACCTTCTACAGGGCGAGATAAAAAACTGCAACAAAGTCAAACGTCATAATTTTTACATTTTTTTTTAAATTTTAATTGAATAAAAGCAAAAAATTTCGGAAATCAAATCAAATTTTAGAATAAGTTTAGGTTTGAATTGGACAACTTTGGCACGAATTATAGCCTTCAAACGGCCAATGAAGCCGTCACAGTTTTTTCATCTCACCCTGTATAGCCGAGAAGTAAACTTAAAAATCGCAGGTTTTGAAGCCCGCTTTGTAAACTCAAGACGCGTTTTAATCTCCTATTTACAATGCAGATCATGGTCTTGGACATGATCTAAGTCTTCATAAATTCCATGAATACAAGATCTTCAGTTGATCTGCTATAGATAAAAATAAAAGATGAAAATTTTTTGAAAATGTCTTATTTTAGAGATGGAAGACCTTCTATATGCATTCTTAACATACTCTAAGAATATGTGAGCTCTGACAGGTCTTCTATAAACAGATGACTCACAACGAGTTTTCATCCCAAAGATCTACTTTAGGGAGAAGACCTTTATAAGCTGATCTCACAAGTCCGGGTCTAAAAAATAGTGAAAAAAAAACTGTGGAACCAATTGTAGAGATTTTTTAAAAATATTTTTAACGAAAACCCAACTGTTTTATTATTTAATAATTTTGTTTTTATTATTTGTAGTATTTCCAAAAATTAAAACAACTTAACCATTCTATTGTTGTTTTTCATCCATCTTTTTCCTCTTCTTCTAATTGTATTTTTGATGTTGATTAGTTCATCTAATATTATTAACTTGATTGGATTCAAACAGTCTAATAATTGCCGTGGTTATTCATATTTACAGGTCACTCTCGAGGAGCAAATGATTTGCGGTGCTTTACAGACATTGAATGAAGACGCCTTTGAAGATGTGGCCAGCAGTGAAAGACCAAGTCCATCGGGCATGCCAACAGGTGAGATGATTGCTGCAGCCGCACAACTGCATTTAGCACCCATTCGAGAATCATCGGAATTCGGTTCGCCATCCGATGAACAAAAATTGAATAACAATTTAATACCATACAACAACAACAATTTTAATAATAACAATTACAATCCGAACAATACGAATACGCCCACCAATACACAACAACAACAACAACAACAAGCAATGCAGCAACAGCAACAATATCATAATCCTCATCAACAAATGCAACAGCACAAACTGACAACTGGCGACTACAATCGCAGTGCCAGTTCACATTCATTACATAGCTTGTCGGGTGGCATGCAAATACTGGGTAATGGTATCATAAGCAATGCAAGTAGTGGATCAGGTGGTGGTCTAGGTTCAATTGGTGGTGGTGGTGGTAACAATCTAATTTTGAGTTCCAACAATCTTGCCAGTCGCCATCCTTCGGTTAGTGATGATGTACTCGTTGGGGGCTCCCTGACCCCACAATTACGCTCACCCTCAATTACGAGTGGCATACCCACTGTTGTCGTTATACCCAATGAAAATGGTGGCGACAGTGTCACTCATCATTTAGTCGATGATACCAAATTATAGAATTTAAATTGGCTGGGCAAGGGTTGGTTTCAGTTATGATAAAGAACTTCAAAATATTGTGTTTTTTGTACTCCATATTTTGATTTACGCAGAAATGTAAATATCCTTTGATAATATACAAACATATCTTATACAGAAAAAGTCAAATAAGAAGAAGAAGCCGATATAATATCAAAACTATTTTTATTAAAGCAATTCAAGAAAACCAAAAAAAATAAAAAAAAAAACAAAAAATATTTGTAGGTGAAAAAATGCAATTATAAAATTAAACGACTATAATAGCCATTAATGAAAGAGATATAAGTAATTTATCGAAAGTCTTAACTCAATACTGGGCGATTTTATTTACACTACTATACAATGCTATATTTTCAAATAATCTTAATACATACAAATTGTAATGTAAAATAGTTATAAAGTAGTAAATTTGAATAGCCGAACAAATACAGGTACAACAGATATGTATTAAAATTCTAGAGTAACAATTACCACAATTTCAATTTTGGTTCAAAGGAATGAAAATCAATTTTTGATTGTCGTTGTTATTTCTTCAAAATTCCTCAAATGTTAAAAGTACACATTGTTGTAAATATATAATATACTTCTATTCGAAGAATTTTTTATAATTTTTCGCTTTTAAAAATTTTTTCCTAACCAACTTATCCATGAGAGCCATTGAAAAGCAGAATGTTGATTTTTTTATTACCTTCCCCTTACCTAGGGATAGTAAATACATGAAGCCACTATATTCTCTTTTACTGGGTGATGCTAGAATCTTGGATTATTAAATTGTTGAATTTATGATATAATGAAATTTCAAACTCACTGCTATTATTTGCCAACATAATGACACCAATCGAACTGTCGATGCCAAATGCAAGTAACCGACTAAACTATTAAACAAGTGGAACATATTTGTGTGGGCTTTAAGAAACGAAAGAAATCATTAGGTATCTACAAGAACGGGAATGAAAGTCAAGCGGTCGACTATTTGACTCCCTACAAAACAATGTCTTTGGAACTGCACGGTTAGACCCAAGATGGTTTTTTTCAAGAAATTGGTGAAACAAAAAATTCTTGCTTCAGGGCCTGAATGCTATGGACTCAAATGGTGTTAATTAGATCCTCATTTTAAAGATACTACATTTTTTTTAAACCTTTGCATAAGTCTTGCCTTAGAAACGGAACGTTTTTAATTTTTGTAGCTTTTTTCATCAACTAATTTTTAAGGATTTTTCATTTTTATATCCTCCACTGTAGAATGGAGGGTATATTAAGTTTGTCATTTCGTTTATAAAACCTCGAAATATACATTTTTAGACCCCACAAATCATATACAGGGTGAAATAAAAAAACTGCAACAAAGTCAAACGCCATAATATTTAATTTTTTAAACTTTTTTTGAATGAAAGCAAAAAATTTCGAAACAGCATCAAATTTTAGATCAAGTTTAGATTTGTTCGAATTGGTCACCTTCGGGAGAAATTATGCCCTTCAAACTACCAATGAAACCTAATGTTGCTCTACGATATTTTGGCCCGTTCCTGGCGAACGCACATTTTTTTCACGGGTTTGTCTAAAAATTGGTATTTTTTAGTAATAATGGGTTCTAGCTCCGGTGGCGAAACATTGCATGTATAGGTCCACGATTTGGTATAGCCCTCATACAACGGTACCTCCGATATTAGGTATTTTGATGGTTTTTTGTCACATTTTTTCACTGATTTGTCTAAAAATTGGTATTTATGGGTCCCAATGGGTTCTAGGTCCTTTGGCGAAACATTACATGTATGGTCCACGATTTGGTATAGCCCCATATAGCGGTATCTGCCGATATTCGGTATTTTGATAATTTTTTGCACATTTTCCTATGAATGTGTCTAAAAATTGGTATGTATTTGTGGATCATAATGGGTTATAATGTTTCCTTTACCCTAAGATGGAGGGTATTAAAAGTTCGTCCTGGCTACTACGCTTTTCACCGTATTTTTTTTCAAATTTGGAATTTCGCAGTAGGTACTGCTTTCTATGCAGATCCACGTCTTCGTATATCCACCTTTTATCTCAAACATGTTATTTAGAGTTTGTGATAGCAAAACATGAATTTCGGAATTTTTAAAATTTCAGTAGCATTTTTCAATGGACTTTGTAGCACTTTAAGAAATTTTACCTAAAACATACTAGATTTTGGGCCCTGGGAATTTCGTAAAAAAATATTCTTGAAAAAATTCCAGAAATCTAAGAATGCAAAAAAATGTTTGGACATAGAAAAAAGTTTGAAATGTTGGTAGAAAAACAAAACAAAATATATAAAACAAAATTTACGCTTTCAAAAAATAAAGGGTCGTAAAAATTAAATTTCTAGCTGTTAAGTAGGTTTGGAAAATGCTTTTAAAAAAATCTACGGTTTAAAAACATGTTGTTGAAAATGCAATCAGATATCAGATACCTTCGAAGGTATTGCATTTTTGGAGAAACAAGCGTTTGAGCGTTTTGTGTCTCTAGAAATTTGAAATCTTAACAATTTTAAAAGACACTTTTTTTGAGTTAAAAAAAAATATACATTTTTGTCTTGGAAGAGTTTAGTTCCGAATGAATAGGTTGGATTAATTTTAAATAAAATCTTAAGCCTCAGTTCAATTACCATTCAATATACAGTGGGAATTTATTAATCAATTTAGTTAATTTATTATATCACACCTGCAAACACATGCCAAAATAAAATTCAATACATCTCCAAATGTCATTTGTCATAATTACACAATTTATCCCCCCGAAACATGTATTTGAAAAAGACAAAAAAAAAAACGTTCAATTTGTTTCTTTTAGTTTAGGCGCCAAACAAGTTTTTGTGAATTTCTCCACACATTGTTTTAAGAATTACTTTGTTGTTTTTTGTCGCTTAAGGCTTTTATTATTGCACTGTATTTCATAAGATGTTTTAATGTTGTTCATATGGCTTTGAAATATGTTTTTCTATTACACAACACACACACACATATACACACACAATTAAAAAAATCAAATACTTTTCTGTTCCTTTCCACAAAAAAAAAATAAACCAAAACAAAACACAGATGCTACACAACAGCCCACCATAATTCAAATTAATTAAATTTGAATGAAAATAAAAAAATGGGAATTTAAAAAGTGATGATTTTAAGGAATTTGTTTTTGGGGGAACAGATCTGCAAAGGACATATCCATTAAACTTCCCCCCGCCAACCTTCATCAAATGTTTGGAAATTATTTTTTAAGCTTTCTTCTTTTTTGCTGTATTTGTACTTTGTTACTAACCAAAATAAAAAAAAAAAAAAAACAAAATATATATTGTAGGTATTTAACAAAACAAATAAATTAAACCTAGTTTAGCAATTATAAAAAAGAACAAACAAAAAAATTGAAAAAGTTAAAAAAAATATAAAAAAAAATAAAAGCATGTAATACCAAGTATAGAAGGTCTATTAACACTAACACCCCTCCCAAATATAAAAACCAAACATCAATTTGAAAGACAAATATATGCAAAACTAATAACTAGTAGTAAATAATAAATATAATATTTATAGATACTATATATTTAAGCGATTGAAAGCTATATACATATACATATATTTATTAAAAATATATTACTATTATTTAAGTAATTTAAAACAAAAATAATATTAATATTATTAATAATAAACAAATGAATAAAATGCTATTCTTTTAATGCAAGCAAATGAAAAATTAACATTTTTTGGCGTTTTTCTGGTTTCCCCCATTTTCATTATTTATTTCAAGTTGTCTTTTTTTTTCTTTCTTCTGTATATATGTATGTAAATTTGTTAAGACAATATATGTATAATGTTCATTTTTGTTATAATCCTAAAAAAATAATGCTTAATAACCTTAATGTGTGTTACATGGAAATCATAACATTTATTTTATTTTTTTATGGTTTTGAAGGAAAGGGATTTTTAACATAATTAAAATTTTTAACAATTTTTTTTTAACAATCAATTTAACACAATTTCCTTTTAAAACGTTGGAAGTAAAGGCCAACACACATTGGAACATAAACAAAAAAATGCGCTAGGTTCATCCTCGAAACTTTCCACCATTGGAGAATGTTTAGATTTACAAATATGTCCGGATGTTCAGAAGCAATTTTGTTCTTTCTAACAATTGTGAATACCAATTAGATCATGAAATGCTATTGGATTTTAAAACAGCTTGAATCGAGTTGACTTTGAGTAAATTCTCGTTGTAAAACTGTTGAAAGTACCTGAAATCGATGAGATACCGTTATATGGGGGAGAGAGAAACATAGAGAAGACATTAAAAGTTAAGTTCCTCAATTTTTTTCAATTCAATCTTTAAAAAAATTGCCAATTAAAACAAGGATTCGTAAAGCTATGCTCTTATCTATAAAAGTTCTAAAACTATGAATACAATCCATAAGATTTGTTCATTAAAATTCAAATCAAAATAAAACAAATAAGATAGTATCAGTCGGTTTTACCGACAGATGTATACCCGCAGCTATTGTACCAGAAGGAGTAGACCGATTCATTTCATCTTCACATCAGAGCTTTGGTTAATCAAAATATTGTGATGTGTGTAATTTGAAGAAAACCTGAATCTTATATCGGATTTTTTAATCGTTTTGGTTATTCAAAACTTTGACCCTTCGTGGGGGAGGTACCAGATGGAATGATCCGATCTCTACCATTCTTATAACAGATCTTGTGCTAATAGAAATATGGAAATGTGCCAAGTCTGAATGGAATCTTCACAACAGACCATGGCTTAATAAAAATATTGTGATGTTCGTAATTTAAAGACAATCATACATTTACTTCACTTTTTATAAGAGTTGTAATTATTCCAAATTTTAACCCTTTGTGGCCGAGGTACTTGATGAAGTGAACCGATATTATCCATTTTTGCACCTGACCTAGCACTAATGCAAATATTAGGTTATGCAAAGTTGGAGCAAAATCGGATTATCCTTTCTCTTTCTGTACAGTAAATTATTTTCTTTGAAAATGTTGACATTTAGTGGGGGAAGTAACAGAAGAGGTGGAACGATATTGCCCAAATTAGAACTCGATCTAAGTTTGACAATAATATCACGATGTACCAAGTTTAGATCAAATGGGATACTTCCTTCGAAAGTTATTGTGCGCACCAGTCAGACTCCAAGAACATACAACCATTGTTTTGACACCAAATGATTTCGGACTGGTGACTCACAGAATATAGCCTCTGCCAGTCCTCATAGTTGAGACTACTTGCAGTTGGAACCAAAGATCCGTAAGTGGTGATCCACAGAATATATTCTCTGCCAGGCTTCGTAAAAAAGACTACTACCAGTTCTTCTCAATAGTTCCGGCCTTATGATCTACTGAATATAGCCTCTGCTGAACTTTGTGGCTGAGAAAAAATTCACATAGTTTGGGAATGGTAACCCAGTAATTTTACAAGTAAAAGCTAACATAGATCGGGAATGGTTATCCACGGAATTAAGCTACTACAGGCTTTGTAGGGACGGCCAGACAGTGTTGCGTGTCAGAGGCTGATGGTATGCGGGTCGGGACTACGCCCTAGATAATAAGGCTGGGTTGGCCGGAGTTCGAATGGGAAACATCCCCAAGCCGCCTCCTTGGCGCACGTAACAACAGACAAATCGACATTACTAGATCGTCTCCCAACAATTCCATTGTTAAACATACTGCGTGGAATATGGCACCGCCTTGTTGAAACCTCATGCCATGCAATTCAAGCTCTTGCATTTTAGGCAAACAAAAATGAATATCACCACACGGTAGCGCTCACTCTTCACAGTTACGTTAAGATTCGCAGCACATTTAAAGAATTGCAGTCCAATGGTACCGCCAGCCCATAGCTTTCATATTGCATCTGACTGATCTTTCCTAAATTTCCTTAATCAACAATTCTGTCTATTTACGACACCATTGAAGCAAAAGTGAGCTTCAATTATGTAGATTGAAATACATTTTATTTAATTTAATTTATTTATTTAAATAGTTCACCAAAACGTTACAAGGTATTGCCTCTAATCTTTAACTGAACTTAAATTAGAAATGTCATGAATATTTAAAATAAAAATAAAAAAGAGAAATATGAGTAAATAAATAAAGAGATTAAATTATTAATAGAGAGAGAAAGAGAGAGAGAGATGTTATATAAAAGGAAATTGTAGAGGTAAATGGGAGACAGTGATAATGAGTTGATGATTTTAACAAGAAGAACAAAATGTAAAAGAAAATGAATCGTAAAGACAATAAATAAAATAGAGTGGAAGACTAAGGTATGTCTGGTTATTTTTCCTGCAGGAAAAATCCAGCAACTTCTTTCTGAGAGAGTTAGGTAGTTTTATTCTCTTTTACAAAAAAAAAAAAACTTTGAGAAATAAACAGACGGAATTCCTGCAAAAAATTGCAAACAATCAACTTATTTATCAAAACAAAGCAATTTGTCCGCAAATAAAAGAAATTAAGAATGCAAAAATTAGGAATTAATCGAAAAACAAAAGAAAATGTTTTAAAATTTCTTGGCCAAATATGCATTACCGGAAAGAGAAGAAGAAGAGTTACAAGTGTTTGCAAGAAGAAATTTGTCCAGCAAGAATTTGCAAACTCTCAGTGAAAGAACTGTCAAAATTGTTCTCTCAAATCGCTCCCCTCGTCAGTAACAATTAGCAACAATTTTTACAAATGTTAGGGTAACCGGACACACCTTTAATTTAATTCATTTTTATTTTTAAACTTGAACTTGCGCGGTGAACAGAGCACGCATTTTGATAATAAAATGCAATGTTGTTGGTTTGTCAGACGATCCGTGGTTAAATTATATACCAAACTAAAGATGTTTCACAGAGAAACAAAACACGCAATTTTTGAGAAAAAATCGTCCTTGAAAACTACATTGATTGAAAGTTTTGCGATATTTGCTGATCGCCACTAATGTTATAATTTCATCCCGGCGAAGGGAATGGTCACTTGGCTCTTTCAGTTTTTGTATATGACAATTTCGATTAAACCTTTAGCGATGTAAAAAAAATATTATTTTGTAAAAATGTTTCCAACAAAATGATTTTTCTAAATTTAAGGCAAAACTTAAAAAAACTTCAAATTGATTCTTTCTGAATGAGATTTCTGAGCATGAATATAAACTCCAGTATAATCAAAGCTGGAAGTCATTCTTCTTGTAAATATGTATATGTTTCTTAAGGGATAAAATAAGTAATGAAAAACGACATTCTTTCGATCTTTTTCTCTTTTGCATGTTCTTCTCTTCGGAAAACAAAAAAAAACTTTAAAATATTGAAAATCACACGTTGACGTGATATTCAGCCAAAATATGACTAACACACATTCTGATTTCTTAAGGAAAAAATTCACCACATTCTCATTTTCCCCACTGTTGCTATTCAGAAAGTTGTTTTGTGTTATTACATCATTCTATTCTGTTGTGTATATGTATTTCATTTTACATTTTTTCTTCTTATAACTTATTTTCCCTTTCTATATTTTTTTTAATACCAATCCAATTATCCCCTCCCAATAATGTTTACCCTACTAATTTTGGAAAAACACTTTTTCTTTTCTTTTAACTTTTCTTCTTTGCCGACAACTATGCATTCTTTGCATTTCGCATACCACAAAAATATTTTTGCAGATACTGAAATTCAGGGTACCAGTTCTGTGTTGTCTTCGACTTTAATAAATGGCAGTTTAATGCCTCCCGCATCACCGGTACAACCTCGCCGTGACTCGATACTCAAGCAACAGGGTAGTGTAAAAACCGACAAAAGGGTTTCCATACGCGCCAGTCCCAGTTCCTCGAATGTGGAGTATATTTCGGAGAAATCCAATGAGAACTCGAATGTTTTGGGCGCCAGCACAAAGAAAAGACAAGGCAAGCCGCCATCAGGTATGTTTTTAAATTAAATATTTATAAATTATTAAAAATACTAATTTCTTTTATTTCCTTACAGGACCTCGCCCAGCCTCCCTGGTCATAACGAAAAACGAGGGCAATTCTCATTTTAAATTGGTGC